GCAACAGTGCTAACCACCGTGCCACCGTGCTGCTCAGATTCAAAACAACCCAATATGCAAATCAACTGTGTGAGCAGGTGTGTGCTATTACCAGGTATCTGTCTCGACCCATCTCATCTTTCTCCAGAGCTCGACGTCCAGTCAGCACCTCGAGCAGCACCTGAAACACACACACGCACCATTTTCAGACACTTGCTGTGTTTCTCTTCTGTTTTCTGGTCTCAGAATAAAAATGTTCAGTTTCACGTCAGTTCCTAGAACAGGATATTTCCTGTTGCCAACTCTATAACTTACCTACAACTAACGAAGATGTTTCTCTAACTAATAGATGGTTGTAACTTATTTTATAAACAAAACCACCTACAAATTATTATGTTTATGATATTTTTTATGGTTTAATGGCTGATGTTTTAGTGTATTTAATTATGCTTTTCAAACATATTTATGGAAAAGCTTGAAGTTTAGGGTGCAAATTATGCTTTACAGTATACTAGTATTAAAGATCAAACGATAACGCCGTCATACTTGAAGTCTTTCTGTTTCCAGGTACTTTTTTTTTTTTTTTTTTTTACTTCCGTGCTTCGGCTTCAAAATCTACAACTTCTTGTTTACATCTTTTGTGGTGTTTAAAATATTTTCTAGAGGAACAATCAAAATTGAGGCCTGCAGCTGTAAATCTTGCTACTCCTCAAGGGTTAGCCATGGTCCACATCCAAGCATCACATCATAGTGATTAGGAATTAACTGCATTAAAAATCAAGTCCTATAATATTAAAAACATACATGTTTCACACAATTTTCCACTGTTCTCATAATAGAAATGGGCCTGTTTCTGTACCAAACTACAAAAAGTTATTGGAAAAGCAGAAATATTTTTATAATTAGGACTATATGAATACACAGAGTCCTCCCATACTGCACTAAAAGTTCCTCTTAAACTAAGAGACTTCTTTTCCCATGAGGCCCTGCGACATCTCACCACTCCGAAGCTGTAAACGTCCAGTTTGGGTCCCAGCTCTCCGCCTCTCACGTATTCCTCCGGCAGATAAGCCAGCGTTCCTCTCACTGTTGTCGTTTTACCCACGGATGTCGTGCTAGCTGCCGAGGTGCCGGTGGGTACAAACCGAGCCAGACCGAAGTCTGAAAGCTTCGCCGTCATGTGACTGTCCAACAAAATGTTGGAGCTGGAGAGAAACAGAGGAACATAAAGAAAAAGAGTTCAGGTTAACACACCAGGTGAAAGCAGAGGCTGCGTTTTTGCCAGTGCGTCGCCATTGTTAGTGCAAATACTCGCACTAACAGACTTTAAAAAACAAAACAAAAAACAACAAAACACATCATAGATGACTTTTTGACATCACTCAGCCTTATAACCAGGTGGACCACATCAACTGTGATAAATGAGTAAATGTGGCGGTAAATACACTTCATGCAAATCATTTCATTACTTCTTCAACGGAAACTTCATCTTGATGGTTTTTTCCTGTGACCTTTGTATGAACTGTGAAATGAAGGCATGAATTTCAACTGAAACTTTACCTGACGGTCTGCCTACGCTGACGTGTTTTACACACAATTCAGAGGAAAACAAAAATGATGGCGACCTCCAGATAGCAGAAGAGGAAGAAGAGGGGCTTCTTCCTCTCTTTGTTGTGTTTGGCTGAATGACAAAGTACACCATAAATATTTATTTTCCTGATCACTTTTCCTTGACTAGAGGAAAAATGTGAGAAGTTACAAGAGAACAGACTACAGGGTGAATGTTGGTTTGCTGTGGTGACATTGCAGCCTCCTGGACTACAAAAAGCTCATCTTTCATACTGTTCCTGCGTTGGTCATACAAAAGAGGATAATCATGAAAAAATTTGAAAACAAATGGAGCATTCTTGGTCTCAGCACACAGAGCGGGTCGCACACGGTGGTTCAATCCCTGGTCCTGCAGTGCATATGTTGCAGTCCCATCCCTTGTGATTTTTATTGTTTAAAGGCGTAGAATACAGCACTTTATGAATGTGTATGAACGAGCAAGACTGTAGCTCGTAGTAAAAAGTGCTTCGACTGCTCAATGAGAAAAGTGCTATATAGGTACTAGCGCATCTTCCAATTCAATAACAAATAAAAATAAATTCATCATCAAGGCTGGAATTTGATAAGGGAATTTATGACCTATAAGCAGAAATAATATTTCTCACTTTCAGATTAGTTACTCATCGTTTCCAGTTATTTATCTCTTCATGCTGGAAATAATCCAGTATAGCTTCTGCTTTCTGCACTTTTCAGTGACTCATGTCAAATAAAAGACTGTAATACAGCTGTTCACTTTGACCTATTTAAATACACTGAAGAGCTCCAGGGTGAAGATCACCTTTTCACGTCTCCGTGGATCAGCAGCTTTTCGCCTTCAGGGGGGCAGTGGAGAAACTGCAGAGCTTCTGATGCGTCTTTAACAACACTGACTCTCTGAGGCCACGAGAGCACCGCACACTCCTGAAACTCACACACGGAAATAAACACACCCATGGAAATAAACACCCCTCCGAAACAAATAAACATTTGTAAATTATGTAGTGTGCAGGGTTTTCCCCAAGCACTGAAACTCGGGTGCAGGACTGAGTGTTTTTACAGAGCATCATGGAGAATGCACATGAAGAGGTAAAGGTGATTAATAAACACTTAAGAGCCACCATCATTATTTAACAAGCCTTTCATATTTATAATCACTTCCCATCAGTGGATCTTATTTATTTGTATATCACAATCTTTTATTCACATCTACTTGGAGCAACAGATGAAGGCCGATACACTGGGTGCATCAGGTTTCAGTGTTGCCAGCTTTCTTTCGGTAATATTGCAAGGATAATGGCAAAAGCCAACACTGAAAAGACCCAGCAATGACCACCTATGACACCCAGAAAGCACCCGAGTCCTGGGAAAACCTGTGAAAACCCTGGAGTTATCTGAGCCGTGTGCATCTGTGTATGTGTTACGTTGTGCAGCTGGTCCTCCAGAGATCTGTTTTCCATGTAGCTGTAAATCAGACACAATGATCCTCCTCCGTCACTGAACCCTAAAAGATCCACAATGTTGCGATGTCTGAATCTGAGGAGGACACACACACACACAAAATAACAACCACGTGACTTTAATCAGAACAGATGAAATCTGCTGTATCTCACTGAGGAACTTCACCCACCTTGACAGTTGCTCCACTTCAGTCTGGAAGCTCTTCTTCAGCAGAGCCCAGTCCAGCAGCCCGTCCTGTCAACAGCAATTCTGACCAATCACAATCTACTTCCTGGCAGTAAAATGGACCAATGAGAAGGCTTTTTCAGACAGTGAGCGGTCGACCCCTCTCTAATTATCAGTCGATGTTTTTCTTTTAACTTTTCTAAAAAGAGCCAAAAGACTCTTTCAGACTAATTTTGTCTCCGTTTCCATGGCGGCAAAAACCTCGAAAATGACAGTCGTTTTTAAAAATCTGTCTGTGACAAAACCATAGACTGTACGTTAAAGATGTTGGCAGCTACCGTGACAGCACCCATTGGATTGTGAAGTCCGTTGAACCCTCGAGATGAGCCATTTTGCTGACACCATGTTGCTGTTTTGATACAGGATGTGCACACTCACCGTCACACACATGTTGATGAGCAATGAGCATTTCCTGAAAAATCCTCTCTCACACTTAGAATGACCCAAATTTACAAAATGGACTGAATTTTTCATTAAGTGTGACTGAAACGAGAAGCTGAGATGATAACATCAGCAGTAAAGTGTCGCCTATGGTCCTGACAGAGCGCCATCTTCCCACAGACTCACTTTAGGACCTCTACGATGGCTTCACTTTTTAGACCCAGAAGCTAAAATTGAAACTCATATTTTGTGTGGAGACGGGGGCTTTAGAAGGGAACCACCCAACCCGACCACCATCGCAGGACTTCCAGGTCGCTCTAAAACGTCAACCAAATGTACAAGTTACCTAAACCGGCCTTCTAACAGCCAGCAGGGGGCGACTCTTCTGCTCTGTGACCTTTCGTCTTAACATTTTAGACTCAGTCACTAGTTCCAGGTCAGACTGAATAAAATATGAAGATCATTTTGTAAAATAAAGAATCAAAAAATACTCTAATTGGCTAACAACTACTCACTCATTAAAACGATTAGCTAGAGGTGTCGTCATGGGGACTTGACTAACCAATGGCAAATGGTCTTTTATAGGGTCCGTAGCTGTGACAAGCCAAAACAAAAGCCTGCACAGCCTTTTTGATCTATTTCCAACTTTTGTGTTGCTTAAAGTTCATTGTTCATGGCCTGCAGGTGGCGACTCCTCTGGTTACATAAAGACTTAAAGGGCCCTTTCCTCAAAATAAAAGTGAGCAACACCATTTCTGACTTTTTTGTATTTCATCTCATTTCCTTTTATTTCTTTGGTGCCCGACAGTTTTAACTTTCTAGCTCGAGCGCAGAAATAATCAGACGGTTGGGATCGTGCATACATTTACTCGAACTGCAGCGTAAACTGTAAGCAGAGTTTTTCTGTACCAGTCCTGTTGCTGCCTGAAAACCGCTCGCTGTCTGAAAACTCCTCAAGACTGCATTGTGATTGGCTGACCTCTTTGAATTTCTTGACGGCGCACTTCATGTCCTTCAGAGTCGCTCTGTACACGACTCCAAACCCCCCCTCCCCTATCTGCAGGCAGGGGGAGAACCCATTTGTCCCAGCATACACCTCTTCATATGACAGGCGCATCACTGCGATGCTGCTGCTCACCGCCACCATCACCTGGGGCTGGGGGATGACATCACCACCATCATCGTGCTTTGTTGTAGTGATGTATTTGTATTGATTGTTGAACAAACCTTGTGTAATGTGTGTGCAAGTATGCGCGTGTGAGAGAGAGACCTGGTGACGTTGTTGCACTTCAGAGAGCAGCCCCGGGGGGGGCGATGCAGGTCTGGGTAATGGACCTACTCTTCCTTTATTTACAGAATAAAGTAGTGACATCATCAGCGTCACAGAACAAGCCGACTGGACATACGTAAATGTCTGTTTATGCTGTGTTACCTGAGCCCAGTCTACAGGTGTCCTGCATAGGCGTGGCCCAAGGCTTTTTGGGAGGGGGGACAAACTGAGAGTCAGAAAAAGGAGATGAAGAAGGAAGATGACGAGCAGGAGCAGGAACATAGGAGTAAAGGTCCAGACTTCTCACCCCTGCAGACAGAGAGACAGAATGAGAAAAAGTCAGTCCTATACAAAAGGTTCTACTGAAAACGTGGACTTCAGGCACGTTGCACTAACGTATAGTGATGAAGTGTTTTAAGAGAATATGATCAAACCAATATGCGTACAGGGAGGGGTACAGCACTGAGGATGCTGTGCTAAGTGTCACTCTTTTAATAAGCAAGCATTCAGAAGATTCAAAAGCTTATGATCAGATTCCATCTGCTGATTCTAGTTCTGCATTTGACTGTTCGTCAACACCCGCAGCTCCAAAAACTCTTAAATTTAGAAATGCCTTAATTATAAATTGGTTTTTATCCCTTTTGTCAAGCAGGTCACAACAAGTTAAACAATTCAATCTCCGTGAGTTCCCCTCTCCTTTTCACCTTGTATACTACTGGCTGTTGAGGTAACTGGACTAATTATGGGGTTATCAAATTCTCATCAAAGAATTTGATAACCCCGTTATTGTTATTATAATATATCCTACATGCAGGTGACTGCCCGTCTTTATCCCACAGGGATATCAGTGATTTCAAAGTGTGATGTAACTGTGATCATCTCATTTTGAATAGTGATAAAACTGCAAAAAAAAAAAAAGGGTATATGTGCACACGACCCAGTGGCAATTGATGTCTGTACAATAGAGCACATATAAGTACTTGAGGTATCTATATGGACAAATTCTTTAATGTGAAGAATACGTTGATTTTTAAATGTGAAAAATTAGCTCAAAGACTCCACTGTGTTTGTAGACTCAGGCTGTTTGAAGTGAGCTCTGTGGTTATGGGTATTTTTTTGTAATTCAGTACTTGAAAGTTTGATTAGATATGAGATGACAGCCTGGTTTGGCTCGCTTACAGCAAATTCAGAGTCTAAGATTGAGAAACTGATAAAAACTTCCATGAAAGGCAAAGGAAACAAAGAGAAACAGTTTCTCATGTCGAAATGAGGAAACAGTTGTTCATCAGACTCATAATTGATTAATTTTTGGTGCTGGTTTTATTGTGCGAATGCTGCTTTGTTTAGCACTGTTTGTCCAAGATTAATATCTAATGTGGTATGACTACACAAAGATAAGAGGCAAGTTTATTCTTATCTTTGCATAGTCTTGCAGAAACATGAAAACAAACAATAGCGTAAAGACATTTTTATATCGTCATCAGACATATATCGTTATATCGAGCAGCCCTAACAGGCAGCATATTCAAGATGAAGTGATAACTAAAGGACAACAACTCTGAGCAAACCCAACAACTTAAAAAAACATTTACAAAACAAAGCACCATATGTTGGTTGTGATCAGCTGTAAACACCTACAGCATATATCTGTGAAATCCAACACATTTTAAAACCTTATTTTCCTTTTTGAAAGACACTTGGGAACAAATATATTTAAGAATTTTTAATATATGGTCTTTTTTTTTTTTTCTAGATGCAGGTGTAAATAATTCTTTATTGACTCCTATTCATCGAGGGCTATCTCACAAGCACCGCGGCTGAACTGCAGCCAGTTTGTGCACCGTGGCATTAATATTAATATACTATCCCTCGGGGTCAAAGGTCATGAGTGTTTGGAGGTAAACTCACAGTTCAAGATGACATCACGGGGGCGTAACAGCTGCAGATCCTCCAGCAGGTCGATCAGCTCTCCGACTTGAATGTTCCTGTTCGAGCATTTGACCATCACCCAGTGGGTCCGCCTTTCCTGCCTCTCAGCCAATCGCACGTCGTTCTGATCCATCAGCATCCCCGAGGCTGTGAGACAGAAACAGTACAATCAAAAACTGCAGAAATATGAAGTAAACTGATTTTACAGACACTCAGACTTCAGAGGACAAACACTAGCTCGCTATAAACAATCACAGATATAAAATACAATAATATAAAAACAGCACAAACAGAACATGTGAAATATTACAACCTAAAGTTTAAACAGCATTTGGTTGAATCCGAACAGAGAATTTCCTCGTACACGTCACAGTTCATCATTCTGCTAAAAACTAGTGACCCGGCTTCACTGGTAGCCATACACAACCGTACCATAACATGTTTAACAGATGTTTTCGTGGAACGTCAGATCTGGCCTTCTTGTTCTTGAGTGTAACCAGTGGTTTGTACAAGAAAGGCATCCCTTTACTGTAGACTTTGACAACGATACATCGACCTAACACAGGATGTTTCAGACTCTGTAAGATGCTGTGAAGAGCTTCTGAACCAAGGAGATAACTCTGTGATTTTCTTGGTTCAGAGATAATTTTGTGACACTTTAGCGGTCCTCTGTGATCTTTCAGGCCTTCTGGTGTTGCCAGTGCATCCATTCTGTTATGCCGATTGCCGTCTCTCTAACAGCTTTATTTGTGTTTGTCAGCCTAATAATGCTTCCCTCATTAACCTCTTTGTGCCTCTTTTTGAGAGCTAATGCAAATTTCAACGCTCTGAATCAACTCCAGATCTCTTATCGTCTTAGTTTGTCATGAAATAACAAAGGAACGAGCCTCCCTTAGCCAAGACATGGCCGCCAAGTTAATTGTCCAATCACTTTTGAGCCTCTAAAACTGCGCATGATGCTGCATTCCAGATACCTCTGAATCCAGATGTCGGAACTTGGAAATTAGGGCGTTCCAGAAGAAGTGAGGAAAAAGAAGATTTGTTTTGGTTCTTCGCAAAGTAGAGACATTCAGGAATCACTAGCGTGCACCTATGGTATCAATTTGAAAATCCTAGATGACTTCCTTCTGAAAATCTTCTGAATGCAATGATTAAAGAAAACTTGACCTCTGGCCTTGACCTTGAGGTCACTGAGATTCAAGCTCGTCTAAGATTTTTAGTAGATGGACTTATGGTATCAATTAGAAAACCCTACGTTGCCTTGTTCTCAAGTTAACGTTATCATAAACTTGGGTGTCCACGCCACCCGCCTGGTCGGGACAATGACAATTCCCATCAGCCTTTTACAGATGATCTGATATCCTCGTGTCAGTGTTGTTCCCACATCATCATAATAAATGTTGTTCCAGGTTCAACATTGCAAGTGACCAATCACATTGTTGTGACGTCTCCCTTTTGTGCCTTTGAAAAATACCGCCTTAAAAAAAATCGACTTCACTTGAGAGAAGAGAAACCGCTTCTGTCCGCCGATCCAGGAACTTGAATTCTTTGAATTTCAGGATACTTTTCTTTAATAAACGGTAAACATTATACATATTGTCCTTACAGAGGCGGTTTCTCTTCTCGCAAGTGAAGTAGATTTTTTGAAGGCGTTTATTTTTCGAGGTCGCGGATGACGTCAGGAGAAGGTGATTGGTCACTTGCAATGTTGAACCTGGAACAACAATATTTATGATGACGAGGGAACAACACCAACACGAGGATATCAGATCGTCCGCCTTTTACGGCTGAGGGGTAAAAATGGCAGTAACTCCTAGAAAGCTAGCGCAGTTCTTTTTTAAAAGCGCTCGAATTAAAGCTGAAAGTCTGCACCAGAATCACATCTTGATGATTGTTTTAAAATTTCACCGTGGTAGTGTACAGAGGCGAGAACACAAAAATACAGAAAAAAAAAATTACTCCAAATACTTATGGAACCTCACATACTGTATGTTGAGGCATGTGATCTTATTCGTCTTATTCAGCGTGCAACATTTGCCCCTTTTTTTTTTTAACATCTTTATCTGTTGGTTAACACTTGTGACTCGTGCTTCATCTGCAGTGTTGCATTAGAGTTCGTCTGAAAGATTTCAAGGACATAATCAACGCACGTGCCACAAACCACAACTCCATCACCTGATGTGGGTGGGAGTGGGATACACAACAACTGGGCCCGATGCTTTTCAGTTCGAAAAAAATAAAAATATGACCAGAGTTTACCACAAGGAGGAAGTGCAAAAAACCCAACATAGACCAAAGGAGCAAACAGGAAAAGCACGGGCAATGGCAATTTATTGTTCTAACAACTGGTTTCATTTCATTTCAAAGAAGTGCTTGTTCTGCCGTCTCCACAGCAGGGCAAGAATGAAATTACCAGCAACAGCAAAAAATATGAGCTAGAACAGCCCACATTAGTGGTACTTTGTCTCTCTTTTTTGACAGCTACAACAAGCCAACCTTCACGGTTAAAACAAAAAAACGAGTATCAAAAACTGATTTTCCTTAGGGGCGAGCGTGGCTCAAGAGTTGGCAGCTCATCTTGTAATCGGAAGGTTGCCGGTTCGAGCCCCAGCTCGGACTCGGTCGTTGTGTCCTTGGGCAAGACACTTCACCCGTTGCCTACTGGTGGTGGTCAGAGGGCGCTGGCCAGTGTCCGGCAGCCTCGCCTCTGTCAGTGCGCCCCAGGGTGGCTGTGGCTACAATGTAGCTTGCCATCACCAGTATGTGAATGTGTGTGTGAATGGGTGGATGACTGGATATGTAAAGCGCTTTGGGGTCCTTAGGGACTAAATAAAGCGCTATACAAATACAGGCCATTTACCATTTTAAACTTTGTGGCTTATATTGACCAGGATAAGGCGCGATGTCTCGGGGATCACAAGTAGCTGCCTTTGATGACTGCGAGGGTGATGCAAATTGGAACTGATGGTGATATCAGAGAAAAGGTGCAGGTGGCCAAAACACTAAAGGTGAGGCTTCAAAATAACATCACAATGCCTGGCTCCATCATCTGTATACAGCTTCTGAGCCCTACATCTAAATCTTTTTTAAATCATCTTTTCTCCCAACTCTAACTGCTCTAGTATTTCTTTTCAGTGTTCCCCTTTGACAGCTGTGACTGTTCTCTAATGCTTAAATTTTACTTTGTCGTTTTTCTGTAAAACTTCTATTTCAGTAGAAGAGAAGCTGCCAGAGGTCTTCCTCCCCACCATCACCAAATGCTGCTTATACAATGTAAAACTTTAAAAGTGTATTTCATTCGAAGAAAACTTAAGATTTTCAGTCACCTGAACTCAATATAGTACACCAACATAACAGAGCTCTACCTAAATTTTAGTCAAATAAAACCCGCACAACCTTAGTTAAGAGAGTTTACAGTAAAACTGAAAACTTCTGGATTTTTTGAGAAACCTCAAACTGTTTCTAATCACATTTCATTATGCGTCAGAACACACAGGCATTTCAGTTTCTGTCACATTCTTGTGCTCCGTATTTACTCAATATTAACCAAGAGCACTTACAGATAACGTCTACCAGAGACTTCCTCAAAACAGCCACCGGTGAATTTATCTATATTTAGGCTAACTGTAGTCAAAATGTGACCTAATATCGGAAGAAAACTGTACCTGATTTAATCTCAGTTGACACTCACGCTAAAGCAATCTTTTATTAATAGTATTATATATTTTACAACTTTGTGGAAATAGTTGGGACAGGTAAGCCTTGTACCTGAGGGCAGACTGAGAAGGATGGATCACAGCTGAGGCTCTCACAGCTTGTTTAATTCTCATTTTCTGTAGTGATTTCACATGGCAGCAGTTAAAGTTGTTACACAGAATAAACACGCTAGAGTTTATTTTGGTGAAACACCCAATTAACGGTGGACTCCACCGTCCCTCCTACCCCAAGCTGCTGGCCTTTAGCTCTCAGTCAAAGTTCGGGTTCCGACTCACCAAAGCGGGTCCAGTCCTGGTTTGACAGCCCGTCCATGATGCGGCAGAACTCACAGTCAACGGAGGCGGGCAGGTTGTAGTACAATACGGCCCTCGGGTCTCCTCCCGACATCTTTACCTAACTCCTACAAGTTAGTCCACGCTGAAGCTAATAGGCTAACCGATGACAGCGGCCACCGCGGGGAACTCTGGGTGGTTTGTAGGGTATCAGATTCACACAAGGACCTGGATCACATCAGAACCGCCTGGAACGAACCTGTTCAAACACTTCAAAAACTCTCTCAAACTACAGGTTTGAGTCTTTCAGCGCTTCCGCCTAAAACAAGCTAGCTGCTTCCGCTCCGCACTACCGAAATAAAAGCCCAAATAAATGCACTGTTTTAAAACTTTTTTTCTTCACTTTTTACTTCTTTTTTTTGAACAAATGTTTTACCTCGTGAGCCACATACACCCCCATTTGATCACAAGTGGACCACACCAGTGAAATTCCCCTTTCTGACAGTTTAAATCAGTTTAATTACACATTTAATCCTCGAGATGTCTTAGGACCGGACCGACAGATAAAAGGACATCTCAGGTTTTCTACATGATAAAGAAAAGCTGTCGTGGTAAATGAAAAAAATCTATCAGCATGACTCCGAGTTTAAATTGTAATACATAAAGATATAAAATGTAAAATGACTGGAAAAAAAGTTTTGGTAGTTTATTGACTATCCTGATATTATAAAAGAGAAAGCTTTTTGCAGAAAATGGTACAAATTTGGCAAAATTGTGCATCCTTTGTAACAAACAGACATTTCTGTAGTAGTAAAAACAGCAACGTCTCTTATCACTCTAATTTTTTTACCTATTACCTAATTAGTTTGGTTAAGCATAAATGGCCATGGGAGAGGTCTTTATCTGTGGAAAATACAGCTGTAAAACGTAGAAAAATGCAGTTAACAGTCCGAAATTTATTCCTTCACATTTTCAAAAGCTGCCCAGTGGGGCCAGATTGGAGTCTTTGCTTGGCCAAATTTCCAATTTATTTATTTTGTTTATATGTATCATTTTTTAATTTATGAAGCACAGTAAAAATTCAAAAATAATATAAATTCTTTGTTTGGGGGGTTAATGATAATTACTCAAGCATAAAATGTACTTTTTGATTATTAAATCACCAAAAATAACCAGGAAATCCAAATATTACTCTTCTCTATACCATGATTTGTAACAGTGTATTACATCAGATCGGTCATTCTTACATGCAAAGTGTCTGCTTCTCCACTGTGACCGTTTCCTGGTTAAATATAATTTCCTGCATGATAAACTCCAGATTGTTGTTGTTTTTTGTTTTAACTATCAGTCAGAAAATAGGATATTATTAGAACTAGAGCTGCTTGATTTAAACCACAGTTATTTTGGTCAGTGCTGAGATTGCTGTGATGGAATCCAAATACAAACAGAGTTTTGAAAACATGTAGCTGTATTATGGTTATAAAATGTCCTTTTCACATTGCAATTAATGTTTCCTGCAATGCATTGAACTATGTCACCTGAAAGACACACTTTATTGTAATATATTAAGAGATTTCATCATATTTTAACTTATTTTAAATTAATTTTTATGCTTACCACATTTTATACTTGTTTTACATCCTGCAGGACTGATGTGTGTAAAGACCTCGTATGACTTTCATTTCACTACAGGAAGTCCTAAGTGAGTATTTCCTCGTGGCTTTGACTAAAAGAGTCATTTTCCTGTCTGAACTAGACAAAGAAAACACACATAACAACCTTCACACACACACACATACACACACATACACAGCCACACACACACACACACACACACACACACACACGTTTCACACTTCCTTTTTCTCACCTTATTTTTTTGAATGTTAGTCGTTGAATGAAACGCCTGAATGCTTCATTAGCTCAGTTCAGTTTGTTTGTGTCAAAGGATTAACAACAGCAAACTGTTATTATTAATACCACATACAACTAGAATAACAGCATGAAGTAGAACCGTGAAACCGAAGGACTGGGTCACGTCTCGGCGAAAAACAGAGAAGCTCGGTAGCTTTGCTGACCTCAGTGGAGATATTTGAAAAAATTCCAGGTTTAAGAATCTGGTTTTGTCATCAGATTAATAATCCGTCAGGTATGAGACTGCATAAAGATCGCTGGGATTCATGTTCACCCTGTGCAGCTGGGCTCTCATATCTAAGGATTTTGCTTGATTGTTTTTTAAAGGTACTTTCTATAAACTACAGTTACACAGTTTATTCTTTTTATGACACTGGTGAACTGAAATGCTTAATTGCATGAAAAAAGTAAAAAAAAAAAAAAAAATAGGGGTGATAGATTTTGTTTGTTTGTCTTCGTTGCCTTTATGTGGCTGTCTTGACTCGACCTAAAGGACATTGAGACAAATTCTAAAAATTAGCATGAATTAATTTTTGTGGGTCCCCTCCAATGCTGAGGTCCCTACATAACTGTCATTTCAGTCCACTGCCGCCTCATTTTAGGAAGGTTGTGGGTTTGAATTCAGTCTGGGGCTTTTCTGTATGGAGTTTTCTTGTTCTCCCCATGTACGTATGGGTTCTCTCCGGATGCTCCCGCTTCCTCCCACAGCCCAAAGGCATGCATTGAGTTAGGTTAACTGTTGATTCTAAATTGACTGTGTGATCATGAGCATGAACGGTTGTCTGGCTCTCTGAGTTACCTCTTTGACAGATTGGTAAAAAAGACTAAAAAATGTGCCACCATTACGCCACCCACTGTTGAAAGCCAAACAGAGTGTTTTTGCCATCTTAGTGTTTTGAAACTGGACATGACGTGTGAGGCGTGGATATGACTGTGAAAGTGAGCGTGCCACGGGGTCATTAGTCAATGAGAATACCCTGGATTTTACTCCTTTCTGACTCTGATATTGTCCATGTTAAAGACAAAATCTGCAATGTTCATAATTACCACCAGGGGGCGACTCAAGTGGAAGCACATTGTGAAAAAAATGTCCCTATGATTCCCCGCTCTGTGACCTCAGTGAATGATTTCATTGACTTTATGGGCTTGACCACTAGTTTCATGTTATACTACATAAATGGGTGACGTTGCACAGTTGGCTTGCCCACCAAAAACGCTCATTGGCCCCCCTGTGGTCATCCTGTGCGGGTGCCATGGTATTTTTAGCCCACAGAGCCCACAGGGCCCACAGGGCCCCCATGATGGTTTTCTGTGGGTCAACCCATAGTGTGTTTGCCCACAGAAAACCCACAGAGGGACCCCAACAGGCAAAACTGTTGTTTATCCTGTGTAGGTCCGCACAGGCAAGAAGTAAAAGATATCAGAGAATGTCCAATTTTCATATTTTCAAGTCAGGCTTATTTGTTTGATAGGATTTGAGTTTATTGTTGTTGGGTTTTTTCACCCCTTTGAGAGCAAGTGGATCCACAGTGAAGTGGTTTACATTCATTTATACAGAATTTTGCTGTCCTTGAAAGCTCTTCATCCTGCAGCTACATCACTTTGGCTGAAATATGTTAAATGTTTTTTTTTTTATAAAAACTGGAAAAAATCTAATTCAGACTCAGAGGGAACACTAATAAGTTTTTACAGATGTGGCAGTTTTTTATCATTTATTTTAATTCTTTGAAAACAACTGGACTTGCCTAATTTTGAGTATCTTTTTTTAAATGGTAAATGGCCTGTATTTCTATAGCGCTTTTACTAGTCCCTAAGGACCCCAAAGCGCTTTACACAACCAGTCATCCACACATTCAAGCACCCATTCACACACTGGTGATGGCAAGCTACATTGTAGCCACAGCCAATAATGTATATTGGGTTGGACCTTGGGATGGGGATTGGTTATAAGTTGTTTAGTAGTTTCCAAAACAGCTTCACAATTGTTAATGACTGGAACTGTATTGATTTATACCTTTATATCGCTTGTTTTGTCGAGGCTGATAGGTCAAACTACATGTGAATGAAGTGGAATTTATGGCTCAGCAGAGGGAATGCGTTCACAGGCCGCTGGCAGCTCGAGGATGGCCCGTCTACCTACAGCACACTCTGTTATAGATAGAGGCAGCACACAAAATATGTGGTACAGCTGGCCTGTGGGTCACTTTCACTCTTTGTTGGTTCGTCAGCTGTTGTTGGTCTGTCTGCCAGCCCAGGAAAAGGGCAAAGTTACAAAGAGCTGAAATGAAATCAAGTTTTAAAAATAATAAAAAGTGTCCACTGCAGACACTGTCTGTGCTTTTCATGCTTTATTTTTGAGCTTCAGTGTTTGCTTTGTGTGTCTCCAGTTCCTGGTGAACGCCGCTGTCGCTCTCTTCCCTCTTCCAGCCCACTTATCAACCAATCAGGATTTGGCAGATCCAACGCCTACGGATAGTGGAGATTTTGGAGAACTGCACAGGAGCGCATCTGTGGTGAGTGAAAACCCCTCTCAGTTCAAACGGAAATGTGTACGCAGACTGACACATTTCCAGGACATAAATTATACTTAAGGAAGCGGCTAAAAGTTGCTTTTTTTTAATATTCATTGAAAAATTAAGAGTCACACTCCATACCAGTTGGCGGTGGTAATGTGCCCTGGATTGTGGTGGCCAGGTAGTCAGCCCACTGGGTCTCAGTCTGAAATGTGGGGCACACCTGGGTCCACACCGTGAGTATGCTGCAGACCCACAGTGGGGTCCAGGTGTGCCCTCATTTTATGCTAGTACTTGCTACAGTGGGCTGCCAATAATGGACTGTGTGGGTCTACCCACAGTGCAGCCAGATTGCCGGGGCATTGTGTTTGTGTTTGGCTCTTCTGCAGGTAATCTGGTTTTAATGTGTGCTAAACAAGCCGCCAAAAAAACTTTTACTCTTAACAACTTTCACTTCATTTTTAAATAAAGGGTTAAGATGGGTCACTGTGGCAGCAACAGGGTATTCAAGACAGTCTTTTCCCCAGCAAGTTTTCCAGTTCCTCCAGAGTCATTCCAAGACAATTTTGGCCCAGATAAGACATATTATCTCCAGAGTGTGTCCCCTGGGTTCTACTTCCAGCCCATGTCTGACAGGCACCCTCATCAGATCCCCAAACCATCTCTGCTGGCTCCTTTCAACTTTAAGGTAGCAGCTCTACTCCAAGCCCAGACACTCAAATCAAATCAAGTTTTTATTGTCACACCACATTTGCTGGTACACCAGTACAGCACATACGAGTGAAATTCTTGTGTGCAAGATTCACAAGCAACAGAGGTATGCAAAAATAAAAATAACATAAGAACAAAGCCAAATATATAAATAGAAATATGAGAATTATAAGAATAAATATGTGTACAAATATAAGAATGCATGCACATTACTAAATATGTATACCAAATATGTGTGTGTGCGTGTGTGTATATACATATATATAATAAAATACAATACAATAAAATAAAATATACAGAGTTTAGCAGTTGGATATTGTGAAAAAGAAATGGCCTATATGTACAGTATGGAGTGCATAATGTCAAAGTTCCGGTAAGTGAAGGTGAGGTGTCTATGAAGTGTTCAGCAGTCTGATGGCCTGATGGAAAAAGCTGTCTCTCAGTCTGCTGGTTCGGGGCCGGATACTGCTATACCTCCTGCCTGATGGAAGTAGTCTGAACAGTTTATGGCTGGGGTGACTGGAGTCCTTGATGTTCCTCCCCGCTTTCCTCAGGCACCGCTTCCTGTAAATGTCCTGGAGGGAGGGAATCTCACATCCAATTATCCTTTCGGCACACTGCACCACTCTCTGAAGACCTTTGCAGTTGTAAGCAGCGCTGTTGCCATACCAGGTGGTGATGCATCCAGTGAGGATGCTCTCAATGGCACAGCGGTAGAAGGTCCTGAGGATGCGGGGGCTCATGCCAAATCTTTTTTAGTCTCCTGAGAAAGAAGAGGCGCTGCTGCGCCTTCTTCACTGTTTTGTTTATGTGTACTGACCTGTACTGACCATGTGAGATCCTCTGCTAGATGTACACCTAGGAAACGGAAGCTGTTAACTCTCTCCACAGCAGCGCTGTTGATGGTGATTTGGGGGGGGGCCTTCTCTGAACTCTGTGGTGAAAACTAATTTCAGCTTCTTTTATCTGTGATGTAATTCTTTTCGTCATAACCTCATCACTATAGGTGAGGATTGGAACGTAGATCGAACCGTTCAGGGATTCTTCAGCGTTCTCATTCTAGTGCACTTTGAGGAACATCCCAAGCCCAGGTCAAAAATCTCCATGGCTGCAAACAGTCTGAGAAACTCTCTGTTTTCCTTCCTGAGTGGCTCCTTCAGGCTAACCAAAGGTTCTTCTGTCTCAAACTTCTCCAACATCCACACTTTTGCTTATTAACCAGCCAAACTCTCAGCTCTTCTAGCCTTCCAGTGCCTTTCCAGTGTTTCAGGAATCCAACAGATCAACTAACCCAGCGGTCCCCAACCTTTTTTGCGCCACGGACCAGTTTATGCCCGACAATATTTTCACGGACCGGCCTTTAAGGTGTCGCGGATAAATACAACAAAATAAAACTAGTACCGAAAAAAGATTTATTCATAACACACATGAAAAGACCCAGGAAAACCGAGTAAACGATAAAAACGATAACAAAATAACGCTGAAAACCGATAAAAACCCTGAAAACCATACATTTCACACCTGAGCCTCAACTCTCGCGGCCCAGTACCAAACGACTCACGGACCGGTACCGGTCCGAGGCCCGGGGGTTGGGGACCGCTGAACTAAGCCCAAAGGCCTCCTTCTTTAACCTGACAGCTTCTTTCACCGTCAGCATCCACCAGAAAGTCCTTAGATTTCTGACACAACAGGCACTGACCTAACTTCTGGAAAAAAGCTCCTTCTAAAGTGGAGACCTTAAGCATGCCTCCCTGTCTTCCGTTGCAATAGAAATTCTTCTGGAGGCGTGAGTTAAAGTGTAGATGTGTGTCAGAAAATATTTACATAAAATAAAGTGTAATAAAAACCATTATGAGACATTTTATAAAAGTTTAAGATTTGGCGTATTTATTGTTTTGAACCATTTTAACAGTGTATCTTGTAAACAATTACATATTTAATACTTACTTTAAATACTTTAAAATGTATTGTTTTAATTTTATATCGGTTTTGCATATATTTTTTGCGTTACTGACGCTGATATTTTGACGTTTGTTATTTTTACAGATATATTCAAAGCGGTACTAGAACGTCTCACTTTGACCGTCTTCTCGCGGGACTACACCGCCCCTGCACCGTGCTGTTGACCCCATGTCGGAGCAAATCTCGCGGTGTTGGCGGTTGACGGCGGTTGGAGATGGAGTCCGAGGGGGCGGGGTGCAGCAGGAGGGAGCAGAGATGTTTGGAGCTTTTTTTTTAATATAAAATTATTTATTTAAATAAAAATGGCCGCCGTGGAGAGCGGAGAGGAGAGACTGTAAGTGGCTTTTTACATTTATCCTCCCTTACCGTGCCGCCGCTACCGTGGCTCCGACGGCTGAGAGCCATTTCTGTCGTTTGTTTTATCGAAGTGAAAGTGCGTTGATTTTTACCCCGGCCTGTCGCGGCGGAGCGGGGTTAGCAGGAATACGTCACCAACTTACTGCTCAGTCTGTACTTTAGCTGCGGAGCGGAGCTTAGCCTTAGCTTAGCCCGTCCTCCGCGCACTACCGGGCCGCTCCGACTTTACCACAACTCTCCTGGAAGTCAGGCCGGGGAGTTGTCACAAATATCCCAGCCGCGGCTTAGCGGCGACGGTGCACCCCTCCTCCCGCGCTCCGTCTGACAGGCAGGAGCTAACGGTTGCTAGCTGGTTAGCAAACACAGTGTTCTCATGAGAGGAGGGTCCGGCTGTTCACACTGCTCATCACTAACCCGGGTTAACCCCGCTCACCAGTAACCTGGGCTAACCTCCCTCATTGCACTCGCAGCCTCCACCCACCCACCTACCCAAAGCGGGCTGAAACAGGTCATTACCCTGTTAGCGGCCAGCTGCCTTAGTGCCGCTGAGCCACATAGACACAGAGTGTCTGCCACTTTTTGCACATGTTTATAACTGCAGAACGGGAGTAGAACCCATCACCCTGTGCGTGCGTGTGTTTGTGTGTCCTAGTTTCTTCAGCAGCTCACTTCCTGTTCCACCTGCAGCTTCAGCAGCACCAACACTCACTGAAGCGTTTGTCTCTCAACAGCATCACTGCCATCATGCACTAAATGTACACACACATTGTGCAATGGCAGAATTTATCAAAATAAAAACACATCGGTTTCCTACACATCCAGGGGTGTGTCTAAAAGTTTGGGGGTTGGGTGCCATGCCCACCCCCCTTGAAGAAAAACCAAAAACATTCACAGGGCAAAACTGAAGCCCAGGAAGAGATGCTACAAGCTGCTGTTCCTCCAATGGCCACTTGAGGCTGTCCAAAAGTGAGGCCATCTCCTTAGAGTCCAGTGTTAAAATGCCAAACTTTACAGCATTCAAAATCATATTTAGACTTTGGTACAAAATACATTGTAGACTATTATGGATAGTATCTCCTGTCATAACAACTCATGAGTAGGGTGATTTTTTTTATTTTTTTAGTAACTGTAGGCTTGTTTTAATAGTCAGTTGTACTAATTAGTACAAATTAGTTGGTGTGGCTCAGATGGTAGAGCAGATCAGCTACTGATTGGAAGGTTGGTGGTTCGATCCTTGGCTTCCCCAGTCTGCATGTCAAATATCATTAGACAAGATACTAACCCCAAGTTGCCCTCCGATGCGTTCATCGGAGTGTGAATGGGTGTGAATGTAGATTAGTTTGCACTTGTGTTTAGAAGTGCTTGTATGAGTGGGTGTGAATGGGTGAATGAGGCATGTTGTATACAGCGCTTTGAATACTCCGGGAGAGCATAAAAGTGCTATATAAGAATCAGTCCATTTATTAATTAGCACATATTAGCACTGGGTGATAAATTGTCACTCTTTTATCTATATAATAGATAAAAGAATAATATAATAATATAATGGCTCACTTACTAAAGTCACCATGGTACCAGTCAAAAAGCTAACATTCATGCTTCAAAATAGAGAGTCTATGTGCAAATCAAAATACTAAGCTTGTAAAGATGTCAGACTCTGCAGTCGATGTACTTGTGTTTGTGGATAAAAATGCGAATTTCTTTGTGTCTCTGAAAATACTTTTTCACTACTGTGTTCTCATATGTACTGATTTATATGGAAGCTCATTCCTGCCAGTGGAAACAAAAAGCCAGGCAAAGGTTTAGTTTTTTTCATCATTAAGAAATATGTGTAACTAATATGGGGCCTGAGTTTGAATCTGCCTTGAGACAAAACAGGGGAAAGAGAAGGACACACACTAAATATTGTGTCCTTCTCTTTCCCCTGTTTTCCTCCTGTTTATATGTGTATATATAT